GTACAATATATGCACAACACTGCCAACCAGCGGCGTATGAACTCGTTTACAATTTAATCCTACAACTGCCGATACTGGGGATGTGATTTCCTGAAAGACCTTTAGCTCCTGGTGTAAAAATTAAAAAGTTGTTGAGGATTGCTAGTTCGGCTGCTTCTTTGTCTTTTTCTTTTGTTTGTTGTAGATTTTTCATTAAAGAAGCATCAATAAAGTAATTTTAAAACTGTTTATTGGAAAACTGAAGCGATGCATTCTGGGTACATGATGGATTTGATTTGTGACGGGAAACGAAAGTTTTCCATGTAGTTGCTCCAGTTGACCACTAGATGTCTGTCCAACCCCGTTGGTGGATTGCTTCAACCAATTACGTCAAGTATTGAGCTCCAGCGTTTAAACTTTATTTATTTATTCTTTAAAAAGGAGCTCCGATTGTAAAGTAAAATAAATCAGTACTTACAAAATTTTAGTATGGATTACAAACATTTACTGTTTTTGTTGGGACAGGGAGTACCAAACATTGCCTTCCTGCTACGTAAGCAGACACAAAGCATTGTGGGAAATGAGAACCGTGACCGAGAGCAACAGTCTGCAGGATGTATACCTTCACAATAAGTGTGTTTATCTGGGAGGGGTGCTGTTGGATAGATCACATGTGTTGTGATTCATTGACAGCCATACCTTCCACTGTTCAAGATAATGAAGACTGGTAGATAATTAGTTATTAGCAGTATTGCATTTTAATTTTAGAAAGTGCAAATCCGCTCATGAATTATAAAAATTAGTAAGACCGCTAAAGTGCAAACGAAATATTTAGGTTCGCAATTAGCAGATTTGCGCTTTAGCGGGCTGGTGCCCACCACTGTATATATGAAACATCCTTTTGTTCTTCTGTTATATAAAAAGTGCTGGGTTTGATTATGATTAAAGTTTTCTGCAAAATAAATGCTCTAAAAATTACATTATCTTTGCTTTTTATGATAATTTTCTACCGTGATGTATACCGTTACCATGAAGGGATTGGATTTATGCCCTGATATGAATTTGAGGTCGTACCGCCCAGCCCTATGTTTATCCAGCATCTGGTTCTTCCGGTCCTGATCCAAACCTCCATCCTTTCCATCGTTCACTAAAGCACAGAGATAGTGGTAAAGTTTGATCAGAGCGTGTTTTAAAGCTCCGGCAGAACAGAAACTAAAAGAAGAGCGTGTTGTAAATGTTTAACTGTCTCAGCTCTGCTGTGAGGATCAAGTGGGTCAAGGAGAAGTTGCTTTAAAAATCCAGAATAAATAAAATAAAACAAATTAATAAAACCGTTCCTGACCTAAAAACACAAAGCTCTGCGGTTCGTTGCCTCCTGAGATCACATTCTGTCTTTTGATCAGGCAAACGTTACGCGCGTGCCGGTCTCCTCCGCTGTTGGTATGGCAACGGTTTCCAGGGAAACGGCGGTCCAGGCGGGAGCCACCTGTTGGCTCTTATCTTTGTGGCGCTCGAACAACGATACAAACACAACCGGACGCCGGCGCGTGATTAAAGAGTGCGGTGTGTAGGAGATTAGTTTCCTCGCACTCGGACACGTCTGACGCCAGAGGAGGTTTGGTTTGAAGGTTTTACCTGTAGAGGCAGCAGGTGAGGTGCAGAGAGGCAGCAGGTGAGGTGCAGAGAGGCAGCAGGTGAGGTGCAGAGAGGCAGCAGGTGAGGTGCAGAGAGGCAGCAGGTGAGGTGCAGAGAGGCAGCAGGTGAGGTGCACACTGTCAAGGACTGCTGGGCCTTTAATGATGCCAGGTAATAAAATGACCAGACAGGTGGGTCAGACCCGACAGGTGGGTCAGACCCGACAGGTGGGTCAGACCCGACAGGTGGGTCAGACCCGACAGGTGTGTTAGTCCCAACAGGTGTGTTAGACCCAACAGGTGGGTCAGACCCGACAGGTGGGTCAGACCCGACAGGTGGGTCAGACCCAGCAGGTGTGTTAGTCCCAGCAGGTGGGTCAGACCCGACAGGTGGGTCAGACCCGACAGGTGGGTCAGACCAGACTGGTGGGTCAGACCAGACAGGTGGGTCAGACCAGACAGGTGTGTTAGTCCCAGCAGGTGTGTTAGACCCAACAGGTGGGTCAGACCAGACAGGTGTGTTAGTCCCAGCAGGTGTGTTAGTCCCAACAGGTGT